TTGGGAGTTGACTTGGGAGTAAACTAGAGACCTGTGAGAAAAGTAACACAATCCCAGGATTGAAAGAGAGGTCCCTGGAGCTGTGAGGTGGCAACAACACCTGCTGCATGCCGCAATGGCCAGCTAGAAGCATCACACACAAACCGCAGGTATCATGTGTGTGAGCCACAGTGGTCTGAGTCCCCACTTTTTTCTGCTTTGGTGGGCCCACTTGAGACACATTTAGCACAGATAAGTGCTCAACATTAAGACTGAAACCCTGTAGGAAGTGGCCATGTGGGCTTGCGGATATACAAAAAAAAATACAGGCCAAACACACTGTGCACCAATAATTCTGCTTCAAGAATCAGAGTAATAGACCATGCTACACTAAAACAGTTTTGAATGGTTTCTGTGGTTATCTGCATTGCACTGCTTTCACAGGTCTGAATCATGTCATGCACTAATTATGAAGGTAGGTGAAAGTAGTTGAAGTGCAATTCCATGTGACAAGACAAATATATTATGGTCTATATTATTGCATATTAATTATAGATCTGCCTACATAGTATGTGATCTCTATATCATTCCGAGGAATGTAGCACTTAAAAAAACTGTTGTGGCATATGTGTTCTCCCGCAAAAAAAAACGGAGGCGTGGGTGTGGAAAAAAATGCAGAGATGAACAGAGTTCTGATGTAAGTAAAATATAACCTAGGGTTGTAACCAAACGAATGAAGTGTTCTAGATACAAATAAGAGGCACAGTATTCAAGAAAGGTTCAGAGGGCATCTGCTTGAGACTAGAGGTGTGCATCGGGACTGGGATCCTGCAGGAGGCAATGGAATAGTCGGAATGTGGGAGGTTTATATTGGGATAAATTTATATTTATATATGGGAGTGTACAGCATTCACTTATTCATCCTTAGTAACTGCCTGGTCAGGGTCACGGTGGGTTACATTATGCTACTAGTTTGTTTATATTTTGGTAGATAAAACCAAATGAATTTGTTAGAAAATGTTGTGAGGAGGTACAAACAAAAAAGAGTGATTAAAAACAGTCCCACATGCACTATTTCAAGAAAAAAAAATCCATATTTAAAACTGAATAAAGATATTTGGATAGTATTATATTTATTTTATTATTATATTATATTTATGACATTATATTTGGATAGTATTATATTTATTATATTATATTATATTATATTTGGACAGACACAGATACAGATAGTGGTACTGCATTACACCAGTAATATGGCCAAAGCAATCTTTTGGCACAAGCGACAATAGCCCTAATTATTCTTTAACTGTTAGTTTAGCTACACAGCTTTATAAACTCGGACTTGCAGCCCTCACTACTGCTGCTATAAGTATGCTAAAGAGTAAGCAAATGATAACTGATGATTATCTGTAACTGTTGATTCACTTAACTAGGTATAAAGCATCAAGAGTCCCTTCACAACAATCCTGCTTGAGGTAAAAGATTAAAAAAAAAATATCAGTATAAAGATTAATTTTTGACATCCACATCAGCTTGTTTGCTGTTAAATCTCTTAAAGTGGATTATTATTATTTATTTATTTTTTTTGCAATCGAGTACAACAGCACCACCAATGTTCATACACAGAAAGGTGCGAAGAGGCCCAGACTGTAGATTGTTGCAGCCTATCAGGCACATCAGGTGATTACACCTTACTAGTGAAATGTGTAATGAATGCAAATGATGTGTATAATTTACTCATTTTTTCCCCTAAAATGCCTTTGGAGGAGAAACTAAAAGCAAACAGTCTTGTCCAATCAAAGTACAAACTACACAAAAGGACAGATGTCCAAACATAAAATTTATTGTTTTTTTTGGTTTGAATGAAAGTGTTACAAAGAAATTTAGATTACCATGTTTGGTCCTCGAAGGAAACAAGGCATAAACCCAGTAGAGCATTACAGACTTAAAACACTTAAAGAAATAGAAATCATGAGCAGACCTCAACACTAATAGTCATTGCTATGCTATTAATAGAGATGAGATTTTAGCCCTTCCATCCATCTAATATAACAACCAGTCGTAATTAATTCATGTCAGTAAGCAATACAGCACAGCCCTTGAAACTGGTATAAATAAAAATGTACATGGTTAACCACATAGAAATATTCTCAACAAGACAATGGCTTATACACTATTATGTACTATAAGCCTACTGTACTATCATGG